CCTACTTCCCCCTGTCGTGCCCTTGCCCTCCCACGACTATATGTATTTTAACTAACTTATTTCCTTGCAAATATATACACATGGAAGTTGAAACATGTTGAAAACTTCAAATCATTAAAAATTTAGTGGAAAAAGTCAAAAGCATTAACAAGTCCATGGTATATCATTTACCCAAAAACAAGTCCATGGTATGTTGGCCTCCAACTATCAAATCCAAACTGAGTATGGCATACTCCATAGTGAAGCACGAACACGATCTCAACCAGACACAATGAATAACAAAAACCTTCACTCATCATCATCATCATTCAAACCTTATCCCAATTATTTTGGGTCGGCTATGATGATAATATGTGAAAAAATTTTACGCTGGCTGCCTACCTAGCGCAACCCACCTCCTTTACCAGGCTTGGGGCGGGTTAAGGGAAAGTTTAAGGTCCTTACCCATATTAGACCACAATTGGACATAGATCAGATATGGATATGGCACTGTAACGTTGACGGCAAAGTGGATGCATATAAAAATTTTCTACTTTTTCTTTTGAGAATGTTGACTTTTGACGTTTATAGTTTTATCAATTTTATGTATCAATAATATAATATTTTCCATTTCTTTCTCCCAAAACAAGACAACATAAATATATATGAAATTGATGATATACTAAATATATTTTCCCAAAAAAAACAAAAAACAAAACCTAGCGAGAAGTCCAATGCACCACACAATCATCCAGATGGAAAACTTCTTATACCTCCCCACCAAAACCAAATGCAGCAGACAAACATATAATAAAAAGTTATTATCTACGAAGTAGAAAGTAATTATTACAATGCAGCGTATAAAGATTAGTATTTGAAAACTTAAAATAGCTTTAGATTCTTTGACTTTTGTGGTACTACAAGCAAGAGGCCTCAAAGCATCAGGGAATAAGATTTTGTATTGACAAAATAAATCTGAAGACAAGCGGGCAATATAGGGACTAGCAAACATCATGGATTATATAGGTAACTAGCTGAGATAATACATGAGACTAGCATACAGACATTATGAAATTCCCCAGGCTTGTCAAGGTGGCAAGATCTCTTTTGAGAAGATTCTGAGGAAATTAGCGAAGCAGATGGATTGACAATAGAAGTGGTAATGCGGTAGCATTGTAATGAGAAAGTCCTTCAACTTGGGATGAGCACAAGGATACTCCTAACGTTCCCTGTTCTGTTTTTCTCTTCTCCAATTAGAGCATTCCTTTCTATTATCTATTATGTACGTATCTCCATTGGCCTTACTTTCAGTGCGACTACATGGATGCAACTCTCTTTCAATGCATCATGAATGATTAGAAAATGATTATAAGAATTTACTTCTTTTTTATAACATAATTATGGAATTCATGCAGGATTAACATGGGTGATCATGTAGTCAAACTCATATTAAAGCGGGATTCATATGGAAGTAAAAGCATGAAACTTATCCAATAAGAAAAAGAAGGAAAAAGTTTATATATGGTTGAGGCCCTAAACAATCAAATTAAGGTGCACCTCAAAAATTCACTAGAAAAGGTTTTTTCAATGCCTGAATAACCCTCAAATCCGATCATTTCGACCTTGAGATACATAAACGTATTAAAAAAAATGGACTTCAAGTCTTAGAATAGTGCATCTTGTAATGCATCATCTAGACAATCAATTTTCAAGATTTTCAAGTGTTCATAGATTTGCTTGATCTACACTATTTTTGAACCTTTAGTTTTTATAATTAGAGATGAAAATAAATTTTCAAGCCATCATAAATATTTTTGGCACTAAAACAACATCTTTCAACATTATTTGAAGATGCGCCTTACTTTGATTGTTTAGGGCCTCAGCCTTATACAAACTGCACCCATAAAAGAAATGAGGGTCCAACTACACATTATCCGAAGTACCTGCTTCAATAACTTTGAAATTTCACATTAATGTATATATGAAAAAAATCCAACAATGAAGGGTAAGTTTTTGGATGCTTCTTCAAACCTCATTCTTTTTTCGATTCAAAGAAATTTCAAAGTCAATCGATTTGGGGGCTTAGATTTGATTTCTTTGGTTTTCACTTTGAGTATTTAGAATATCTCCAATTTATGTAAGATTCATGGGTCAAAATGACCCTATGTGCCCTTAGGGGACACTCTAATCTAAAAAATAGGGGCCCAGTACCTGGGCGCCAGCCTAGGCCGCCTAGGCGGGCTCCCAAGGAGGACCATCCAGGCTTGGATGTGCACCCTAAGGTCCTTTTTCCCGCCTAGGTGCTAGGCAAACCATTTTCTAAAACAATGCTCCAAAGGTGTGAATAAGCCTGCAAATGTGGAAAATCTCGTCAAAGATGTGTGCGAGTCTCCAAGGAAATGGTGAGGAACAGTTATTAAAAAGCGCTAGGGGGGTCCTAGGCGACCTGGGGCGGTCCAGGCCGCCTAGTGCCTAGGCGGGGGCCCAGAACCTGGGCGGCTGCCCAGTTGAAAAAAAAAGTAAAAATCCCAATATACCATATTCCCAGTTAAATAATAATAATAATAATAAAGATCGAACTCAAGAAGAGAATTTTGATAATCCATATTGTTAAAACAGTAAACTGTGAAACCATACAAGTGTAGGATATAAAAGTCAACACTCAACACAACAGAAATATACAGAAATTTAGAAAATATACGGTCTAACAAAAGTCAACACTCATGACTCAACACAACAGTCAACAGACTCAACACTCAACACTCAGCAGTCAGCACCAAGAGGCAAGAGTCTACAGTCATCATCATCATCATCATCATCATCATCAGAAGGAATATCAATAGCGCAAGCCTCATCATATGCATCAGAGTCATCTCCCTCTTTAATATAACGCGCGTCCTCCTATGTTTCGTCTGAATCCGCCTCTTCCTCCTCCTCGTTTTCTACCTTACGTGCAATCTGTGCAGATGAGGCCTTAGGAGTCTTGGCTGCTCTACCTTTTTTTTTGTGCTTTTTTGAACTCAAATATTGTATAATTTCCTCTTTGGTAGCCTTAGGAACATTTTTACACGGGACAACAACCCCCGTAATATCGGCTAGGTGTTTTTTAAACCGGTAAATGTCCCCCATTAGTATCTTTTTCACAATAATTACATTTAATACGATTTTTA